GGGGTCTTGGAACAGTTAAAAGCGACGTATTCCGTTGGCTTCACAGAATTCTTGAAATTCTTTTGAAGTGAATTCTCCTCCTCGATCAGATCGCATAGCTTTGATCTTGAGACCACTCTCTTTCTCTACATCTGTTTTAAACTTCTTGAATATTCCAAAAACCTCTGATTTTTGTTTTAAGAAATACACCCATGTTTTTCGTGAAAAATCATCTATGAAGAGAAGAAAATAGTTGCTCTTACCGAGTGAGTTTGGCTTTATTGGACCACAGACATCTGTATGTATGAGCTCAAGAGGCTTTTGGGCTCTTGAACTTGACTCCCTTGGAAAGCCTTTCCTAAAGTGCTTTTCGAGTAAACATCTTTCACATAATTGATCAGGGTGGTTGATGCAAGGTAATTCTCTCCCCATCTCTTTCTTTGAAAGCAAATCGAGTCCTCCAAAGTTGAGATGCCCAAATCGAAGACGCCAGAGCCAAGAAGCTTCTTTATAACAGGTCTTCAGACATTTGGCAATATCTTTTTGAATGTTTAGAGAGAACATTCTATTTTTACACATTGGCACCTTAGCAATTAAGTTATCAATATTGTCTTTTAAGAAGAGAGTATTTTCTTTCAAATGAATATCATATCATTTCTCCAAGAGTTGCCATAAACTCAAGATGTTGCTTTTCATATTCGGCACAAAGTAAACATTAGAAATAAATTGATGCTTCCCATTTTTCTGACGATTAAGAATGTTACATTTGCATTTCACCTCTATCTTGGATTCATCTCCAAAAGACACATTGTTACTTACTGATTCGTCAAGCTCTACGAACATGCTTCGTCTCCCACACATATGGTTGCTTGCACCGGTGTCCAGGTACCATGTACTATCTTCACCTCTTTCATTGCCTTTGTATGCTAGAAGTAGAGTGTCATCTTCTTCTCTTTTTTCTTCTATGTAGTTGACTCTTTCATTAACTTTGTACTTAGGTGCTCTACATTCTTTCCATAATGCCCGAACTTGTTACAATTATAACACTTAATTTTGAGATTTATCATACCTCGAGTTTGAGCGCCCTTGACCACATCCTATTGTAGATCTTTCTCCTTTCTCATAGTTATTGTTGGTACTCCATCCTTGCTTGCTAGCATGACCTCGTCCTCGTCCACTACCTCTTCCATTGTGGTTCTAATGTTGTTGAAGCTTTCATCTTTCTGAGTTAATTGGATATTCGTCTTAAGAAGTTGTTCGAAAATCTCTTCGTTCATCTTCTTCTTTGCTTCATCGGCTTGCAATGAACCCAGAAGTTGCTCTATCGTCATGGCATGTAAATCCTTCGTCTCTTCGATAATGGTTGTGATGTCGGCACTATTTTTGGTGTGGGGTTTGCCCGTAAGAAGCTGTCAGTCATCGGAATTGAAATTCCGTTGCCCGCTTCGGAAGGACATTTTAAAAAATTTTAATTTTGAAAAAGATGAAGTCAAACTGACCCCATAATTTTCATAGTTTA